AAAATCATAAGAAAAATAAAAAATTTTAATCTTGATAAGGACTTATGTATCAAAAAGAAAGTTGGAGTGGAATTTAAAAGAAAAAAAAATTGTTTTTGAATGCACCACCCGTTCTCAAATTGGTAACATTTATCTTATTGTACGTATTCACTGAGTATAATTACATGAATATGACTACGATGATTTACTCATAGGTGCTCATTCTTTGATAAATATGTTTGTTGAGTTAGATATTATTTGATATGTCTTTGCTTGTGTTGATATAGTTTTATTAATTTCTATGTATATGTTACTATTGTGATATTTGAATGCTTAGCATGTTTGAATACTTATCTCGATTATTTATCATATATAGTTCATGATATATTTTTGATGTTATAAATGTCTTTTGATGCCACATATGTCATTTTTTATAATGGTTGATGATTTTTTATATTGATTTAATTAATTAATTTTAATAACTTACATAAAATTTTTAAGCCATATGAGGAGACAAATTAAATTTCTTTATTTCATCATGTGAGATTGATGTTATTATTAATGATCACTTTATGCCTTTATATTTGCTAATTAGGTTAAGTGTCACTAAAAATTCTTGAACTTTACAAAAAAGAGCCATTGTTATCTCTTTGTTAGAATAAATAAATATATATATATATATATATAGATAATAATTGTTAGACTTTAGAAGAGGGACCACGTGAAGTTCCCCAATGATAAAAAATTGCAAAACAATTACCCTTGAATTGGGGGAGGGTCCTTGATATTACACTCTCCCTTCCTTTTAAGTGTTTATATTTTTTAATTTAATACAGTTTAAACAGTAAAATAAAGATATTACAATAAATCAACCTATCTTTTTTTTAACAAATAGTTGGCTTTGTCATAGTTATGGTCAACATTGGAGTACTATTTTGTTACTTATCTTTTATGCTCCACTGCCTTATGTTTTAATGTGAATCACTTAATCATTCTTGATCACCTCAATTTTTAAAAATAAAATAAAATAAATAGAATATCAAACAACCTGATTTTTTTTTTTTTTGAAAAATGGCAAATTTTTGGAGATTGGTAGAGAAGGGAAAAAAGGACCCAAGAGTTTAGCAATTAGAGCACTGCTTAGGGGACCAACTGTACTAGTGGCTAAGGGATTTTTTTTTCTCTTTTTTTCATCATTTGGAGACTATGTAAGAGGAAATTTTACCAAATACAATCTTTTTTTCATGCGAATGGAACCGTGGAAAAAGGCACCAACTATGAATGCACTTGTCAGCCCAATTAAAACTACATGTAAGTCAAGTGGTCAAGTTTTCAAACTGAATTGGTATTGGAATCAAAACAAAGGAGAATCTGCAACTCTTACATACTGATAAAGAAGTATAGATTGTCGTTTATAAGTAAAAAATTAATTAACTGACTAGCAGGGTATTGAAAATTATATATAAATAAAACCACCCAAGCATAAGTCTGTCTAGGAGCCTTCAAAAATTTAAATTTAAGTTATTAAGAATAACTGCTATCCATACCTATATAATTACTCACAATCATACGATTTTTTCCACCATGGAACTGGGGCCTTTCTAATTTTTCAATCTTTATTGCTACCGTACATGCATAAATATTTCTTTCACATGATGGAGCAGGGGTCATGGTACTGGCTTGCTGGTGGTAACTCATACACATAATAAGGCGTTGTAGACGGCCAAACCAGAGCCTGCCCGGTGGGTTCTTCCTTTTCCTCTTTCTTTTCTCCTCCCTCGGCCGTCACGCTCACTAGCTCCGCAAATCCCACTTTCTTTCTCAGCAACATCGTTAGCTGAACTGCGTCAACTCCATCTCCCTTCACCTCAATCTGGCTCTTGTCGTCGCCTTTCAAAGCCGCCGACTCCACACCTATACAGCAATTCATCAAATTTATATTGAATTCATTAATAACTGTTCTAGACTAACAAGAAAAAGGTAGAGTTATGAAGGAATTAATTAGATTTTGTTCTTACCAGGGAGCCCCACCGCAATCTTCATGGCCTTTGTTCGGGATTTATGCCCGTTCATCGAAACCTTGATCGCCATCGTTTGCTGCATAAATCGAAATAAAGATTTGAGCACTAGATTGATTCAATGTTAAATCTGGTATGGATATTGATAATATATACATACCTTCATGGTGATGTTTTTGCTGTTTTGTTGAGACTACTTGAGATATAGACACGGGACAGAGATGATCCTCCGTTTTTCAGTTTTATGGAAGCAGGAAGCTGTTGTTGCTTCGGACTTGGGAGGAACCTCTGAATCGTGTAAGAGGTTTCGATGTGAGGGTGTCAGCTAAGTTTCTGTGTTTATATAGAGGTATGGTAACTATAGAGTAGCCGCTGGGACATTCCTTTGTTTTTTTTTTTTTGGCCGAGGGACGTGTCCTGGTTGGTTCGGGGAAAAGGTTGAAGATTGATTGGATCTCTTTGCCTGTAATGGCTTGGTTGACATCACGCTTACTTTCTTTGCTTTTAAAGTTCGAAATGGGAGATTTCCACAAATCAAGGTCATTTTAGGAAAAAATGAGTTTTGGGGGGAAATAATTGTGTTGGGATGAGACTAGTTCAAATCTCGTTACTAGTCCTGTTTGGCTTATTGTTGTTTTCACATTGGAAAAGTTAATTGCTGATCTTTAACTTTGAAAAAAAGTATAAAGAAGGTTATAAATTTTATTTCTTTTATTTAAAAATATAAATTTTGTTAATTTCTAATTATACTTAAATAAAAATTTTTAAATTAATGTGTAATAGGTGCCAATTTAAACTTAACTTTGTTTGTTTTGTTCGGTTTAATTAAAACTCTTGCAAATTTTTTTTATTTTATTTTAAGAACCTTGTAGAAGTGTCAATGTAAAAAAGTGTTATTAAACAAACTTTTTAACTCTATAATATGATCATAAAATGAATTAGAAATTGATGAGTTTTGTTAAAATAAATTTAAGTAAAAAAATTGATAAATAATTAATACAT